ACCTTTCAACCGTTGGTCTGCGGAGCTGCAGATGGACGACGCAGCGACAGAGATGTGGAAACACACAAACAGCTATAGTGACCTAGAAACCCAACATGTGGAGGACGATGACTACGAAGAGTCGGACAGGAAATACTCCAGTGACATCACGCTGTGTGTGAATCCAGACCATGAAACAAAGTGTTCAGAACAACTTTGATCTGATGATGTCAACATTAAATAATGATTTTACAAAAGATATGATGTACATATTGATAAGTGAAAGCTGTACTTTTATCCACTCTAGTATCTGATCATTCTGTCTACATTTACATGATTTTTTTTTATAAGATGGGGTTTAGAAAAAAGATGTCACTAAATGCACTTCTGTAGTTATAAGAAAAGAACTGCAGAAGGATATGTTTTCAGAAGGTGCTGAAACATAGACACGATGTGTCAATAACTGAAAGTCCTTGAAAACACAGAAGGCTGATTATGGACAAAACACAAAAACAATAAACAGAAACAACTCCATTATTATGACATTAAACACATTCAAATTAATGTTCATGTGTCACGTCTCCAGAGGGATTAATAAAGTACTGTCTGTCTGTCTGTCTGTCTGTCTATAAAAAGGAAGGTTATTTAACATAAAAATATTGTTTTTTTTTTAGTGAATCGAATTATTTCGTGGAACGTTGTAGCAGAGAACAAAAACAAACTAATTTAATGACATTGTCAACGTGTTCTGACTTGAACCTTTATAATAGTTAACATGCGCCGCACGTCTGCAAGTGACCTGGGGAGGGCAGCATTACTGGTGGTTAGCGATGCGTCTGCCGAAAACGACAACAGAAGAAGGGCACCACGTGACCAAGCATCGTCCCCACACTTTGACTGATGGTGAAACGTCGTTGTAAATAAGCAGTTTTCAGCGAAAGAAGAGGAAAATCCCGGGGCGGATAAACGTCAAGACTGACAGAGATGCGCAGGTTGGGCTCCGTGCAGCACAAGGTGCCGTGTGTGTTCGTGACGGAGGTGAAGGAGGAACAGTCCAGAAAACGAGAATGTCAGGTGAGCTCTGCTGGAAGCTGCGCACCCACCTACTGGTTCACTGTCAACGCCGTCGGGTGTGTTACAACATGACGTCAGGGGACCGTCTGCACACGAGAAGAAACCCACTGAGCCACAGTGCTGTGTAGTTTGTCTCACATGTAAATGTGAATACTGTTTCAGAGAGTTTGTGAACGTGGTGTAGGTCACTGTTAAAGGACAGACTATAAGACGGTGGTATAAGGTGCAGTCTGAGTGACAGATGGGCACGCGGCATTATAAGTCATGTTCTTGTATTTAGAGGTGATGGGTGAGCTGACAGGTCAGGCAGGTGTGTTTTCACTCCCTGGTTTTTGGAGCCAGATGACATTTTAATGTCTGTTGTAAGGAACAGCTGCACAAAAATGTTGCACTTTTCTCCCCAGCAATTTCAGGTTTTGGCTTCTGACCGTGTGAATCCCGTGGCTTTGGAGGCAGATGTTCATAATGCAGTGGCCACAGAGAAGCTGGACGGAACCTGCTGTTACGTTACACTCTATAAAGGTACAAATCCATCAACTTATAAACGTTGGGTGTTGTAGGCTTAAAGTGAAAATAAAAAGTCCATTTTTCAACGATCTCTTCAGGACGTCCTCACCTCTGGGCTCGACTCGACAGGAAACCAAACAAACAAGCAGAGAAAAGGTTTAAAAAGTACCAACACGTGCACAGGAGCTGCAAAGGTTTGTCAAGCTTCATGTCAGCGGATCTGCAGGAAGTGTGTGTGTGTGTGTGTGTGTGTGTAAGAGTTAGTGATAAGAGTGTCCTTTACGTGGCCTCTGTGTTCATGTGTGTCACTCACTCACAGTTATATATTCTACATTCTATCAACGATTGTCTGTCCCTGATGTTCTTAGGTTTTTCGTGGAACCTAGAGGAAGACTTTAAATCGGTGCCAGAGCAGTGGATCCCAGCTCACAGAGTCAAACATGACAACGGGCGTCCCATACCTGACCAACTGGGCCACATCCCAGGTAAGTAACCTGCACTCCAATAACATCTACTTTCATTTTCATTGGTCAAGTGATAATTAAGAGTCCAAAGTGAAAGACATACTTGACTGTTGACGGTCTGCAGACTGCAGTGGAGTTGACCTTCTGCTGCTGTTGATGTTCAGGCTGGGTTCCAGTGGACAAGGACAACAAACAGTACTGCTGGCACTCCTCTGTGGTGGACTTCAGAGTCGGTGCTGCTGTTGTTCTACGGCCCACTGCGGATGACGACCATCGACTGGAGGTGGCTGCAGTTCCACTGTCTGACCTGATGGAGCAAACACTGGAGCTCATTGGAACCAACGTCAATGGAAACCCCTACGGTCATTTACTGTTAAACTTTACAGACATCATAGGCCTTTCTACTGTTGTCTTTTATGATAAATCCTGAACTGTAGTTGAAAAACAAAGTGTATTTACTACAGTTAAAGTCAGTCTGTTACTTGTGAGCTGGAAACCAACACTTGTTCCCACTCCTCGTCAGGACTGGGCAGTAAGAAGCAGCCACTCCACTGCCTGGTTTCACATGGAAGCATCAGGATCAGGAACGCTCCGTCTGTGGACCTCCAGCAGCTCTGCTCCTGGTTCCAGCAGAGTCCAGAGGGACGAGTTGAGGGCGTCGTTTGGCACTGTGACGACGGCACACTTGTAAAGGTCGGAGAGTCCGACATTTAAAACCTCTCTCTCTCTCTCTCACTCACTCACTCCTGCTGTCACTCATTCACCTTTCATCCTGTTTCTAGATTCACCGCCACCACGTGGGTCTGATGTGGCCAGACGGGGGCTCCTACCTTGGAGACAGGCCGGTGGTCATTCATGTGGACTGGACAAGTGACGAGTGCAGCGGCAGCAAGAACCTGTTCACGTCTCTGTCCGCCCTAAACGGACACACCTTCGGTCGACTTCAGGACATCCAGTTTGAGCCATAATGGCACAGCCAGTCGTTCCTGTTCCTGAGGTGACCTGTGAGAACTTCCTGTTCCACAGAGAGAGTTCCTCAGTTGCACTTAATGAGTGGAAAACAGAATCCCAGTCTAATGCTCTTCTCATGAACTGGTAACGTCCACAGAGATGGTCTTCACCACAGTGGTTCAGACTGAATGACTGTAGGAGGTACAGGCTCTAACACTGCTGTCATCATGCTGAAAACATCATCACATCATCAATGACAGCATGTTTAGTTAGATTTGCTACAGTTTTAGCATTTACTAAATTATTGCTAAATGTGATAGCTAAACTTCAAAGAAAATGTTTTATAATTTGTCCAACTCTATGGCTGCATTTACTGTATGTACCAGTGACCTACCGGCAGAGGGCCCCGTGGAGCACATCAGTCACTACTTCATACAACCACATTTGGAAGAAAAAAAAGCACCGGACAATCAAGAACTTGGAATCTTATACAAAATGCAATAGAAAAGCATGATGTTATTAACTTTCATGAAGAGAAACAAGTAAATATACCTGCTGTAATAATGTGATTTTTTTTTTCTTGTCAGTGATGCCATAATAGACTGTAAATACTGTCGGCTACAGACACAGTGTCAGTGCTGAAGAATAAAGACCAAACATCTGCACAGGGAGGATGTGTAACAAAGTTGTTTCATTCAAACCCTACACAGAAACATCTGTGAACTGAACAAAAATAAACCTCTTATCAATCTGCTACAATTACTTACATTTCACACAATAAATTACATTTCTGCCTGAGGAGAGTCGGAGAAGCAGCTGGGCTGAACCAGCTTTCATTTCCTGAGGTCTAGAACTTACCCAAGTACCATCACACTTCACTCAACAACTTCTTCTCTGTGACGTTCCTCAGCATTAGGACGTTTATTAACCCTGTGTTAACTGACCGACACACTGGGCATTTCAAATGTGACACCGCTTTCGTCACAAACCCGTCGTAGCTCCTTCTCCAGCAGGATGTTCTTCTTCACCTCCAGGTTGTAGTTATACTTCAGGTCCTCCAGTTCTTCAAAAAAGGTTGGGTCAAAGTTCTCCAATTCTGTCCTCAGCTTGTCCACCTCACTCTGGAGTTGGACCTTCTCACTCTGCGTTGACTGCAGGAGATTTTTCACTTTGTCATAATCTACAGGCACAAAAAGAACTCTGTCATAACAACACGAGCTTCAGTTCACTGTCAGAAACGGCTGCCCATCAGACCATCAACACACACTGATGTGGTTACAAATCTTTTTTTCATCGTCCTGTCAGCCATGTGTTCCAGGTTTTTTTTTTTTACAAATCTGTATCTCAAAATCTTAGTTGAAAAAAAGCATTTTCTTATTTAACTAGATGATATAAACAACAGAGCTACAAAACGTTGGTATTTAGTAAATTACTGTTTTAATGCATGATTTTACTGCCTGTTTGGACAACGTCAGTTTTATATATACACCAAGAATTCAACACATTTACTGTCTATATTAAATGTTAAATAAACAGATTAAAGGTAAATCACTCCAGTTTACCAAGCCTGTAGCAGTCCCTGCCCCCCCCCCCCCTTTTTTTGAAATTCAGTCATTTATAAAAAAGTCACGATTCCACCTGTTTATGACGATCACACCTGGACAAAACTGAGGTTAAAAAACCTCTACATCAGTGTCACCTACTTCTTTCCCACTAGAATAATATATCAAATATAAACATAACGTTAGCAGCAGCTTCGTCACCTTGTTTTGACGATGTTTCGCTGAATTCCTTGAGTCTCTGCTTTAGATCCAAGTTCTCCTTCTGCAGCTCAGTGTTCAGCAACCTCAGGAGAAAATAAAGGAGTTTTTCTAACAAACAGCAACAACAGCAACAAACAGCAACAAACAGCAACAACAGCAACAAACAGCAACACACAGCAACAAACAGCAACAACAGCAACACACACCAGGGTTTTCACCAACGTCATCATAAAACTAATGATCTAAACTAAGATAAGCAGTGTATGTTATATACATATATATATATGTATGTATACATATTTTATAGGTATATTATATACGTATTTTATTTTAGTTAGTTATTAGTTTTGCAAACACAGGAGTCGCCCCCTAGTGGTCAACTGCTACTTACTGTATGTACTACTTTCTACTACAACGTTTAGACTAATCTTATTATACTGTATATTTACTAAGGAAAAAGAAAAAAAAAGCTCTTTCTTGTGGCTTTAGCCTGTACTAAATATAAAACAAACTCAACTAAAAGGTGAGAAAACTATTATTTAATAATGTTATAAATCTAAAGCCTGGAAGTTAAATCTGAACTTTTTTTTTTTTGGAATAAATGAAGGTTTCTGCAGTAACAGTCGCCCTCTGGTGTTTATTATGTTACTATTTATCTGCTTCTGTTCAGTCAGAGCTTTTAATAATAATAAAGTTATAGTTGGTCTTCTGGACATTCAATACGTGACAAAAGAAAGAACAGCCATGTATACATGAACACACATACATATAAACATACATACCTTATGGTGTGAAACTCCTCCTCCTTGGTTCCTGCACCAGTGTCTGCAGCAGTAGACGAGCTTTTCAACAGTTCAACCTAGAACATAAAAAACCCTAAACTTTCAGCACATTTTCAAGACTATAATTAAACACAGTATATTACCGCCAACGTTGCATGTCTGTTTTAAGGGTTTTAAGAGTTTCAGCATAGAAATCATGTGTGTATGATTATGTCACATCCCCTATGTTTGCATTTAATGTAAATTTCATTTCAAAGGATTGTTGTTTTGCACGGACCTCATCCTGGAGTTTCCAGATGTTTGTTTGAGCTCGCTCCTCCTGCTCCTTCAACTCCTTCAGCTGCTGTTTGAGTTCAGCCAGGTGGAGGCTCTTCTGGGAAAGTTCTGTCTCTAGTTCCTTCATTTTGTTCTCATACATTCTGTGAATGGAAGCCCAACAACAATTCTCATTTTGTGAAAGCTACCTGCAGCATAAACTTTAGAGTTTTATCTGTTGTTTTAAACTAAGCCTTTACCTGAAGTGTCTTTAAAATGAAAAACTCTCCATATTTTTCACAGTCTACAAATGTGTGTCCACACATTGTTTTTATTTGCAACAACAGTTTCCACAGCTGCTGTTTTTATAGAAACATATGTTTTTGTTCATAAACTGTAGATGCTTTCAATCAGATAACACTCGGAGAATAAACACAATTACTGTCCACTGACTGACAGGTGAGGAACAAATCAGTGCAGATCAGAAACCCTTAGATAAAGCTGCCCACTGACCTGGTAACCACAGACGTTTTCCTGGTCTTGTCTGTTCCCTCTGTGAGCGTTGTGGACAGAGCCTCCAGAAGTCGTTGACTGGTTTCTTCTAGCTTCTTCTCCAGCTTTTCATTGGTCACCTCCAGACTGGTACGGGCCACTCTCAGCCTCTCAGATGCCTCGACTTCCTGTTTCCAACATTATACAAACACGTCTCTCAGATGCCTCGACTTCCTGTTTCCCACATTATACAAACACGACATCGTGAGTAAAACTGTGAAGTATGTTGAAGAATGTGCATCATCCATGTGTTATTAGTACAATGAGTCTCTAAATGGTTGACCATAAAACACACAATCTCGTGAGATGTTCCTAGTAAAACTTCTTCTGTGGTTCTTTTATATTCAGGGTCACCAGACGTGGGTCAGTTACACCCTGGTCAGTTCTAATGCAACTGTGGAATCAGCATGTTTTTGGACTGTGGAAGGTAGGAATAATCTGAGAAAGAGATTCCAAAATAGTTATCCAACAGTTCCAGGAACATTATGCCATGTCTCAGAACTACCGTGTGCCGTTTCCATCCTTACTCTTTTGATCCTTTTGCGAAGACGTTCATTTTCCATCGCTATTTTCTCCATTCCTTTGGTTTTTGATTCTAGTTTTGAACTCAGCTCGGCCTCACACTGACTCCTTAATTTCTCGTAGTCAGCCTGGGAAAAGAACATGTGTTAATAAAAGTTGGAATAGTCAGCATCTGCAGCAGGTCAGATGACGGAGATGAACGACCTTGAGTTTCTCATGTTCCTGCTTCAGGGCGGCCGCTCTGTCTTTGTTGGCGGAGACACTGGTCGTCTTCAGAGACTGGTTCTCCCTCTGCAGCCTCTCCACCACCTTCTTCATCAGCCCAATGGTTTTCTCAAGGTCTGGAACTGTTTTACCACCAGGACCACTCTGTTGAGGAGCGCAGGAAGTTTCTTTTTTTTCTTCTTTCTGCTAACTCTGATGTCCTGTTGCTACACATGCTGTAGGGCTAGGGTTAAAAACATAAACACAGTGTTTTACAATAACTTACCCCTTGTATTTGGCTAAGCTTTTTCTTTACTTCTAAATTCTCCTTTTTCAGTGCGGCACACATTTCTTTCATATCGGCCACTTGATTCTGGAAAAACAAACAAACACAAACACAGTGATATTAAATGTTGAGCTCTCTTACGTTGCCTCACACTGAGACTCGGTCTCGGTCTCGGTGTCGGGTCTACCTTGAGTCTCGGTAAGTCGACGTTGCTCTGCTCCAGCTGAAAGCGCAGCTCCAGGTTTTCAGAGGCAAGTTTGAGGTTCTCTTTCTGGAGTTCCTGGTCTCTCTGTGAGGGAGTGACGGTTCCTCTCCCTGAAGTCTGCACAAGAGAACCGTTTAGAAAAGCAGGCATGTTAACAAACCACACCAACAATTGTAATGCAAACAATAAAAAGGTAATGGATCAAGGTAACATTTTACCTTTTTAATTATGAGGCACAAAAATGACTTTTGGTCTTAAACTTATCTTTGAATTGAAAGGCAACCGTCTTCCAAAGCTTGGCAACAACTGAGGAGCAACAACCCAGCCGTCAGTCAACTGAGTCAGAGCTGGGTGCTACAGTACCTTCCAGTAGTGGTAGTAATGATAGTTAGTATTTCACTCATATAATTACTTTAGTCAGTCACTGTGAACGTCTCCAGGTGGGGAATAATAAAGTGTTCAAATTAAATCAAATCAAATTCCAACTAATCTGAGCTGAATTGAGGAGTTTGTCAGTAAAAACAGAACAAAAGATGAGTTTAACAAAATCAAATGAACAACAACAGAACAGTGTGTGGAAATCCAACAGTAACAGGAAGAGTCGACCAACAGAGGAACACGCCAGCCTTGAATCCATAGTCAGTGGGAGTTTGGGGAAAGTAAACACATACTAACAGGCCGTGATCTACTATTCCACATTCCTCAAGTTTTCTTCTGCCACATCTACTGTAAGGCTAGCACAGCATTGTTAGCTAAGCAGGGCGACTAGACAGGTCTGTGGTACCTTCAGATATTTAGGACATCTGCCTTCTTGTTTCTGTACACGCTCATCCCTTCTTCTTCTAATGGAGCCCAGGTGTTTTCTCCGTGTGCTGCTAAACTCCACATGTGGTTCTGGTGAACGGGACTGATCTGGATCCTCTTCCTCTGTTGTCTCCTTTGTAGTTGCAACTGCTTCGTTTTCCAGCTCACCCTGCTGAATATCTTTCTCTAACTTTTCTTCTCTGATTCTCACATCATCATCATCATCATCATCATCATCATCATCATCTGCGTCTCCATGGTGATGGCCAGCAGCACCCTTTTCATTTACAGTGTCACTGGTTTCATGGCCTGTTTGTGCTAAGCCCGGTTCAGACGACGGTCCAACGGAGCCAGATCTTTCAGACAGATCATTTACATTAGTCTGGTTTTCTGTTGTGGTCTTAGATGGAGAGTGAAAGACGATGTCATACTTTTCATTAGCCACAAAATGATCAGAGACTTGATCGTCCCTTTCTGTTTCACCTCCTCTCTCTGCACCGTCTTCAACATCAGCAGCCTCACAGTTACAGACAGTGTCTTCTGTCATGTCAGGACTGGACCTCCCCTGTGGACGCCCCATGTCTCCTTGTCCCACAGTTTGAGTTTCTGTCTGTCTTTCTTGAATTGCAACCAGGGTTTGTTTTGGCGCCCTCTGATGGCCAGGAGGGCCTTTGGCATTTTCAGGGCTTTTAGAGAGTTTAGAGGATACAGAATGACAAGGTGCCACATTCCATTGACATGATGTGTCCTCAACATCAAAGGTGCCAGAAGAAATCCCTCTTAAAGCTCGGGAGTGGGAGCGTTTTGTCTTCACGGGCCACGCGTTCGTGTGAATAAACAGAGAGTAATGAACAGTGAACAGTCAGTTGAAGTAAAACAACTATCACTCTGTCACTAGGTTTTCTTATGCAATTTTGGAATTGTTTTTCAGTTGCTTAATGTGGAGTCATCAGCTGCAGGAACAACTGGGATCAATGAGTCTGAGCCCATGAATCACACACACTCTCTCTCTCTCTCTCTCTCTCTCTCTCTCTCTGTCTGTCTCTCCAACAGATCAGACCAGACAGCTGTGATTTTCCTTCTGATCTTTTGTCACACTGACTAAATTATGTTCTTTTCCTTCCCTACATTTATTTCCCTAAGAACCACCTCATGTTTTGTCCATTTCCTTTAATCATCCACTCAGTGGTTTGCTCAACCAAACAAAGAGGCCTATTCAACAATTAATTGAATAAAGGAATAACATGTTTGCGCCGCTTAAGTGTTTGCTCCAAAAAAAGAGGCAAATTCTGTTGATATATCTGATCAAAGAAAAAGGGTTAGAGGCCCATTTTCTTGTCTTCCTGTTCTATATTATTTTGTTATTCATTTGATCAGAAATGGAAAAAGTTGTAATTGTTCTACTTTTGCGTCCTATTTATCGGCTGCACACATACTAACAAACTGCAGCTCAGTCAGAACCTCAGCCATGAAGCCACAGGTTATGTTACAAATGAAGGTCAAGAGTGACTTACAGAAGGGCTGGACTCAGGCTCTCTGGACATCTGACCTTCTAGGACGTGGAGCCTCTCCTCCAGGTGGTGGTTTCTCTCTATTAGATTCTGCACGGCATCGTCACGAGGTAAGGCTTGTTGTTGTCTGCAAGTTAAAACAAAGTTACACATCAGAACTGTGTGGTGTTCCTCAGGGCACTTCACTGGGACCTGGTTTGTCCAGGCCATGAGTTGGTAACAAGATGTGAAATATTACAGGAACAGTTTTATCATAAACTGGTTTATTGCACATGTCTGTGCCCCAGGTCAACATGAAAAATACAATGAAATGAACACCTCTCTCTCTCTCTCTCTCTCTCTATAAATATATATATATGAGCTCAGTCAAATCAATAAAATACTGATCATCC